TCCTTCTTGTGCTGAGGGCTCCAGAGCTGGACGCAGTACTCTAGGTGAGGTCTCACCAGAGCAGAGTAGAGGGGCAGAATCACCTCCCTTAACCTGCTGGCCACGCTTCTCCCGATGCAGCCCAGAGTACGGTTGGCCTTCTGTCATTTTACCAAGTACCCACAAAAACAAAAGGGTTATACAACTAAATAACATCCAAATCAGTGTTGGAGCCAGTCAAACAGATTTTTCTCTTTCTCTGTTTCTACACACACACACACATATGTACATTTATGTGTAAGTATATGCATGTGCACAAACACAATGTAGAAATGAAATCTTACACTCATCAAAGATCTCCAAGAATAAACAAGTGCTATGTTCTGAGTTACCCATGCCTTCAAGATCTAGTAAGTATGCTGGTCCTTCAAATCCCTTTATTTTAAGGGTTATTAAGACTGCTTGGTATTTCCTTAGAACAGGACACCAGCTGTTCCCAGTTATTTCCCGTATCCATGTTTTAACTTATCTTTTTAATTATTATTTCTTTTAGATACAATGGAGAGGCCTTCCTTGGAAATTAACCTGTCTGATACTCATGAAGAAGGAAAACTTTATGTAGTTGATTCCTTAAACAACCTAAACAAACTAAATGTTTGTCCAGAGGCATCCCAACATGCACTAGGTACGTATGATAGATGATGCTTTGCGGTTTTCTATACACACAGTAGGCCATCAAAAAAGTGTTATGTATGACATTTGAAAAGACCGGCCACATTGCGTTGCACTGATGTCAACAGCCCAATAGGCCAATATATATATGTCAAGCTCTGCACTGAAAAATGTAAGAAAAATATTGAAAATGGCGTAATTTAGATCAGATTAATGGTTTAGCTGATCCTGCTGAGTATTTCAGTTATTAGGTTCTTGAAAATCCTTGCATTTGTCTAGGGATTCACTGTCAAGCCTGAACTTATGTTCCATTTCCACTGGGATCCATGAGGTGATCCCTTGCAGGAAAATGTCTCTAGTAATGCTCAATATACACCTACTACATAAATAGCATCGTAACTCTTCACAAGCACTAGAATTCACACACGGCAATAGAAACACCAGAGGATCTCTGTTCATTCTTTTAAGACACATTTCCTAAGGACTCAAAGCAGTTATCTGAAATACCCCATGAGACTTTTAAGCATTTGAATTTGCAACCTCTCTTTACGTACAGTTTCATATATGGGCTCTCACACTTCTACTGGTTTTATACAGCTTCTATCTTCAATTTGCTCATGGCAACAAGAATATTTTCACCCAGTGACAGCTGCAATATACTTGAGTTCTTTGTGACCTGAAAATGTCTTAAAACCTGGAGTTCTTCAGCAATATTCCACATGACAATAATTGTATCTGCTTTTATTTCCCTTACTACAATGGCAAATTTGACTGAAGAAAAGCTATAGACCAGCTACATTTAAACGAGTTTCAAATGGCCGTAACTTAATCATGCTTCTAGTTATGGGACTTAAATGCCTTTCCATTACTTCTGTTTTTGAGTCCTCTAACTTTTCCTAATGCAACTAACCAGAGTGGTGCTGGTTTCTAGATTTAACACAAAGATGTTAAGACATAAGCTACTTCATTTTCATAGGTAGATCATCTTGATGTCAATTCTACAAGTACAAAATGAGACAATGGGATAAATCAGGTTTAAAGTCAAAGAAACTCTTTGCAGTGTGGCTGTCTTGCTTTCTTTTGTAATTTTTTGGGGGCACTATTGTTTAATTTATGGGTAAATATACAGGGTTCTGTGGAATCATATACGGTTCTGTGGTATAATTACATGCATGCTCCTTCCTACATTTCAGCAGTAAACAAAGATAGCCTAAAATGTATTTTATGCATCAATTTGTAAAATGCTTTGGCTCCTTCTAGGATTATTATTTTTAACATACATAATTTTTATTTTTTTTTAAAACTTGGAGATTCTGTAGATATCTTATACATAAATTAAATACAGTTAAATACATAAAATGAATGTTTCACCGTCCTTAGCTCCCTTATTCAGCAGCATAAAATTCTGTTTCTCTTGCCAGAAAATCAATGAGATCTGTGGAATATTTTTCAGTTTCTGATAAATACTAAAACCTTGTGAATGATCTATTAGTAATATAGCAGGTGCCCAATTTGGTCTAAAAATGATGTTTCAAGAGTGTTGCAGTATCTGGCAATCCTTTTGTTCCAAAGCTTGATATGACCTGGCGTAATCAAACAGACTAGCAACCACATTAAAAGCTATTTTAAAAGTATATACCTTTTGATTGCTTTGGTAGCAGCCGTGCAGCAGTTTCTTTATGTTTTAGATGATCAAATAGTCCCACTGTTAGCAGCTTGGCAAGAATCTGTGTTCACTGATTCCTCACAACACTGCAGGCTGGTGTGTTCAGCCAGCTGAAATAGTAAGAAGCATTCATTAGGCAGAGCAAGCACAGACCACTTTTGAGACTTCTATTGATAGTTTAGTATGCTTGAGAGACAGCAGCGGCAGGCCCTTCCCATCCTTATTATTCTGATTAGAAAGCAATATTGGTGCAGGCATTTAGTATATGATGCATTTGTTATGAATGCTAGGGGAATAAAAAGAAAATCCCCAAACCTGAATATTAAAAGGTTTCAGCTTACCCACAGGCAGGAGCATGTTAAATGCAATAAAGAAAAGCAGAGATATTCCCAGAGATCCCCTACTAGCTTGGTGAATTGCTCAGCTCCAGGTTGGTTCATTATTGAAGTGCTGTAACGGCATAGGCAGCCTCTCCTCAGCTTTATCACTGCAGGCTCAGTTGCAAAGACCTCAGAGATTTCTACCAGCTAAAACAAGAACATGAACTAGAAATATATTTCTGGCAGATGCGTACGCTACTCTCCCTTTCAGAATGGCAAGGCAGCGATTACAGGAGGAGAAATTATGGTAATTTTCATGTAATTTTAGCATGTATGAGATTGACACCAAAACGAAATTACATTAGCTCCCTGCTTCCCCCAAAACATAAAATAAAACCAGACCTTAGTAAGTAAATTAGTATGCAAACTTGGGATTAAACAAGTCTGGCTCAAGTGCATATACTTTTTTTTTAATATTCACATGAATTTCCTCATGGTGCTCACTTGACTTTACCTGTTATCTTTAGGGCTTATAACCACCTCTCATTTGATTGCAACTGTTTCTATGAGAGAAATCACTGACGTTTCCCTTTATGCAACATACACTTAAAAAAGCAATAAACTGGCTTGCTGCTCTGATTCAAAGGAAGCATAGCAACTACTTGTCCTTTTTTCCCCTCATTCTTCATGTGCTCAAAGGACGACATATGCAGTCCATGTGAGAGTCTAGTCCATTTTTGACAATTTGGGAGGATATGTACCTAATTTTTTATTGAAATGAAACCAATAAAACTTAAAGAAGAAGAATAAGATTATTAAAAACATTTGTTTTAAGATAAAAAGTCAAGACCTACATTCATCCTATCCAACGTCAGGAGCTTAACCGAGGTGCTTAATTTGGGAAATTAATCATCCTAGGGATACTTTTCTCGTCAAACAGAAAAAGAAGCAAGTCTGATGAAAACTTCATTGCAACCTTTGTACTTAAAACTGAGCTGTTAAACTCTGAACTGTAAAACAGGTCCACTTCATCAGAACAGTGTATGTCAACAACAGAAACATTTTTGTTGAATACATTCCAACAGCTATAACAGATGTATTAGTTTTTACATTTCCAAATTCAAGCTGAGCTCAGAAATCCCTTCTCATGCAATATCACAGGAAATAAAATCTGTTGGCCAAAATTATGACATATTCTGCATCATTTCATGGAGCCAGAAGCATTTTGTCATGTTTATCCTAACCAACCTTAACAAACTTTACCACCAAATGATTTGTCATCTCGTAACAGATGAGGAAGAGAACACTGGTGGTACTGGAGAAAACACGGCAGGGAGCAACGTAAGAAACCCGTGTTTGTTCTTCGTCACCTTTATTCTTACTTTGATCGTCAGTTTGGCACTTGTTTCGTTCGTAATATTCTTAATAAGTAAGTAAACCAAAGAGGGGTTCTTAAAAATGTAGGGTCAATGGGAAGAAGAACTTTGCTGACATGTGTCATGCTACCTTATAACATGCTACTGCTGTATTTGCATGGTCAGAGGCTTTGCCAGGTTACGGGCGATGGATCTTGGTGTAAAAGCACAGGCCTCGACTCTCTGAGCTAAAAGGCACAGTTTTGTTCTTAGTGCAAAGGTTTCGTGAGCTTTAACAGCTGTCAAGAATTCAGCTCAGCAGGGTTATGCTGTGTTGCTAAAAATGCTGACTGGAAATTAAACTGAATTTTAAAGATGACTGTATGGCAGTGAGATACTTTGACACCATGCCTTCCATTCCTTTCCAGATGAAACTCAGTACTGGTGTCATTCCACTGAAAATAGAATTATACCCAGGACAACAGTTAAATCAGGCTACCTGAAAAAAGACCTAGAGGTTGCCAGCTAAGTACTGACTAGAAATTGGTTTGGAACTAAGAAAAACTCAAACATAGGAAACAAAAAATCAGATAAGATATATGAAAATGTGCACGTAGCATTGAGTCTGTAGAGGTAATTACCGTTCTGCTTCAGCTGGACTGGTTGGGCTGGCTTAGCTAAGCACATGACTACAGGTGACCTTGGTTTATTTGAGCCCTTGCCACCTTGGGGTTTTCCAGGCTAATGGTATTGGACAGAGTATGAGGTGCATTATTTTAACTTACAACTCCATTTTGAACAAATTTGAATCCATGTGAAATCACGATTTCTTTTATCCTATAGTAGGGAATTCGCTCATTTTCCTTTCTGAACAGGAAATCCTAACCCTTCACTGTATTTGCTCACAAGCGCTCAAAGGACAGAATATCAGACAAGTAAAGAGCACAAAGGAAATTTTAAGTGGCATGACTGTAAAATCCCATCTCATACTTGAATTCCAGATTTATTTAACAGGGACCCGCTGGTATAGAAAAATGAGTAATGATGTGCCCCCCTAGTGGAAAAACAGTAAAGTAATAGTGAAAAGGCTACTTACAGGGCTTAAAGCAGTTTGTTTGGGCTCAGACTGGTAGAGGCCTGTGGTTTTTGAAACTGATTTCCAGCAGTGTTTCAGATTACGTTACAAACATAATCTGAGATTATGTTTGCGATCCATAGACATAGATTTGTTTAGCATTGGCACTATTAGATTTAAGCTTCAAAACCACAGGTAAATTTTGTTAACTTCAGAAGGCCAAATAAAAATAGCTCCAGAAGTGTACATGATTGATACTGCACATTGGTGTTCCAGAGGAAACTGGCCTCTAAATGCTAATATTTGCAAGAATTTTCCTTTAATCTAAATGCTTTAGAAAATCAATTGATGTGGCTGTAGTCAGGCTGCTGTGTGTTTTATAATTGTACTTTTAGAAAAATACAGGCACATACTGCCCAGAAATAGCATCTTGGAGACCCTAAATAAGATGTTTTCCTACAGACACTAATGAAATGGATACGCTCCTGAAGACTGCAAAATTTGTCTGAGACATATTTGATTTTATTACACTGCACTAAACTGAATAAAACAGAAAATAAGCAATTAAAGAATGTAGTGAGCAGGTAACCCCACCAGATATATAACTTCTTAACACTAGGTTCTGCAGTTGGTTTTCCTGTTTAATATCTTTACTCATCATAATTCCTTACCAACTCTCACAGGAATGCAAGAGAGGGTAGTGATGCTCTTGACTTAAATGTTGCCAATTTAATGCGGTACATTTTCCTTTTCAAGTTCAAACTAGAAACAAGATGGACCAAATATCAAGCAGACTAATATCTGAAAAGAAGAACATAGAAGAGCTTAAGAAAATGAACAATATGATATTAAAGCATCTAAATCAATCAGGAATTAAGAAAAAGGGGAGATACCTCTTCACACAGTCTCCTGATCTTCATGATTACCTCCTTACCCATGCTGAGCTGAAAGTCGCTGGAGAATAGATCTTCTTTGGAATTAAATTCAGCGTATTCATGTACTTAGATATTTTCACATATAGCACACAGGTTACTTAAACATTCTGATATGGTCACAGGAGCACTGGGAAAGCCCTCTGAATGAAAAATATTTGAAAATAATATTTTATCCTGTTTTATGTGAATATAGATTTTGAAAACTAAACCCATATTATTTATGATAAGCAATGGATTGTCAACAATTTGGGGCAGGAGTTCCAGATTCTCTATGCATTGTAAATTGCAAGGCTAAGGGTTTAGTTTTACTTTAAATGTAAGTGAATGGTCACAGAAAATAGTGATTTCTATTTACATGATTCTTACATAACCTCGTTCACTTAGTCATTCTGTTTCTTTGGAACAAGTTTTGTGTTTGCTTCTATATTATTTGTATTTAAGGATAACTTCAGATTCTATAAATTATAAATAAATCCAGTTCTGCCATGGAGTTTGGTGTTTTCCCTTTCTGGGCATCTAAATAGATTGACTTATTACTCTTTTTGCAAAAAACCAAATTTGAATAAAAACAAGCCCTTTCATAACATGTCATATCCAGCCCAAATTTGTATTGACTGAATGTGGGTGTCATATTGCCTTACATGGGGAACAGGTTTAGAGAACTCAGTCTGGTAATACCCATCTCATAGCAATGCTAGTATGCTGTAATCAGTATTTGCTGGCAGTTTCTGGGGGAAATCCAAGTGTTTTTATAAAGTGATGT